CTCGAACTTGGGAACCCTTGCTGGCTGCTGGTTGGGGAGGCAACCAACCCATCTCCTCTTGGGAACCCTTCTCACAATCCACCCACCCACTCTCTCGAAGCTCGATGTCTTTGTTAGCACGCAGTCTGGTGATTGGCTCGAAGACTTGTTGGATTTTCCTTTTCGGGAAGCCTAAAGCAAAACCATGAAAACTTATGCTCAAAGTGGACAATATCATATCATTGTAGAGAGTTGTGTTCGTTTAACATAGTATCCGTTTAACATAGTATCAAAGTGGACAATATCATACCATTGTGGAGAGTTGTGTTCGTCTAACATAGTATCAGAGTCATGCCTTAAACTTAGTCATGCCAGGATTCCAAAAGAAAAAGAAGTCGACCCTCCTCGAAGGCATAGTAAAAAATGACAAAACTCCAAAGGAGTCAAAGTAGACAATATTATACAATTGTGGAGAGTCGTGTTCGTCTAACATGGTATCAGAGTCAACCCTCCTCGAAGGCATAGTAAAAAATGACAACTCCAAATGAATCAAACCTCGATTAAGGGGAGACATACTTTGTTCGAGAGAAGGTACTGGATGATGAAAGTCCCACATTAGCTAATTTAAGGAATGATCATGGGTAATCAAATAATACTCTCTTCATTAGTTTGAGCGGAGAGCCCAAAGCAAAGCAAAGCCATGAGAGTTTATGCTCTAAGTGGACAACATCATACCATTCTAGAGGGTCGTGTTCGTCTAACAATACTATTTATAACAACCTCACTCCACCTGGCCCATCTCCTCTTCTACGTCCTTGTAAGAAATGCTTTTTATAATCCATCCTCTTGAGACCCAATGTCTTTAAGTACACTATTTGGTGACGGACTTTTATACTATTTATAACAGCACAAGTCTACCAAACCCATTTCTTCTTCCACGTTTTTATAAGAAATGCTTATCATAATCCACCCTCCGAGCTTAACGTCCTCGCCAGCACACCGCCCAATGACTAGCTTTGATACCATTTGAAACAACTCAAATCTACCAACCCGAGCAAATATTGTGTGCTTTGACCAAACTCCTCTTTCAACTAAAATATTTGGAGGGAAATAATTTTTTTGGGAGTAGGTCAAAAGAATGAAATTTGGAGCTCTAAATTACAATAAATTGATGAATTTTAATTTTAATATTGAATGTATTTTGATTTACGTGTATTATTGTTATTTTTGTAATATATTTTAAATATAAATTTGCTCAATAAATTAGCCCGTCTTGATAAATAGCCCAATGAGTTGTTCTTAGCCAGGCCCAGCCCATTTTTTTCAAATCTAGACGACATGTCGTCCCTCTTTGTACGATCGTTTTACATAGAGATCCGGAAGAGAGAGAAAAAAAGGGCAAAATTGATGGACCGAAACCCTCAAGGCCTCAACACTGAAATTAATGGCGCGAAACATATTCGAGAACGATGAATATGGAACTGCAGAGGCCGCCTTTGAGAAAGATCAATCTTTATGCTGAAGAGCCAAAGAAGAACACTCCGAGGCATCGTTGAGGTAGAGAGTAGAGGAAGATGGAGAAAAAAGTTGGGGCTGAGATCGAAGAGCTTCCGAAGACTATAGTTCGCCGAGTGGTTAAAGAGAAGCTTTCTCAGTGCTCTCGGAACCAGGATATTTCCGTCAACAAAGACTCGCTTCTAGCCTTTTGCGAGAGCGCTCGGGTCTTCATTCATTACCTCTCCGCAACGTGAGTACCGCATCCTGCCTTTTTTTTTTTTATTTTTCTTTTTTGAATCCTGAATGAAATTCTATCGATTCTGATGTTCGAAATTAGGGTTCGTTGTTTCTCTTCTGTGTGCCTGAAGAACGAAAGCGAAAGAGATTAAAGTGATGAATCTCTTGTTGTTATAGCTCTAGGATTAAATAAATTGTTGTTATGTATTAGTTAATTTTTGCGTTCGTATTAACTGGTTGATCTCTAAGCAGGTCGAATGATATATGCAAGGAATCGAAGAGGCAGACGATAAAGGCGGAAGATGTATTGAAAGCTCTAGAAGATATGGAATTTCCGGAGTTGGTTAGGCCTCTTAAGGCTTCCCTCAATGGTATGTTACGTTCTAACCGCTTCGTTTACTTTTTTTTTCCCCGGAAAATCGTATCTCATTGGAGCATGAAATTGCAGGATTAATTGGAGAACTACGTTTTAATAGTTGTAGCTTTCTGAACATTCTTTGAAAGCTGAAAGATGATCTAATAGTTCTCTTTGACCTGTATTACAATTACGCATTATGTAAACACCTGAATTTAATTGGCGACGAAAATTTTCGTTTACACTCCTTTTGTTATTAATTGGTTGCTAGCATGGCCTTATTTTTATGTTCTTACATGATTTCGTTGCCTAAAATGTCTGGTATCGCTAGACTTTCAATCTCTATTTTGATAAATTTCGTTAACACTTCAGGAGTGTAAAATATTGCACAATTATTGTGCAAAGAGGGCGTTAACGTTATAAGAAAATTCTTATCAGTTCCTCAAACATCCAAGACGAGTCAGTTTGGCATTAGGATATGATAGAGTTCTCATGTGAAAGGTGGATACAAGTTACACATGAATGTTAAATGCAAGTCTGAAGGACTCTCTCGTTAGTTCCTTTAGTTGAATTGTTCATGTAGTATAAGAAGGCTGTAGGAATTCATCTCAATCTCCTTACCTAGTTTAGGGAAGAAATCAAGTGCTCCTTTGTTTTAGATAGAATTCCTATTCATTGAGTGGGGTATTGGTGAAAGTTTTTGCTGCATGACTCTTTCTACAATAGAACTCTTGCGACAAAAGAAAAGTGGATTTTTTGAAGTTCCCTCTTTAATTTCTATGAACTCTTGCTTGACATAAAAAAAGTATAATTAATCATTTACCTGAGGTTCTACTTGATTGAACTTCAAGTTGGGGGAATATAATTTAGAGTTCAAGTAACCCATGCATGCCTTTTATTAAAAAATTATGATTCAATTAGATTGAATAATTTTTCATTAAATAAATATTGAAGTGCTTATGAATCCTTGGAGGTTTTTGTTGGATCTATCTTTAGTTATGTTGTCTATTTCTATTAGTAGAAGTAATTACTTAGACCATTTTGAAAATTGGGTAAAGTGTGCAAGATTTTTATTTACTGGTGTGTAACCAGGCTCTACTAGTTCTTTTTCCGTGTAGTTTGATATGTAAGGACTGTTATGGAATCTGATTATACTTTATACTCTTGATATGAGAGATTGTATGAGATCCTTTATTAATGATTTATGTAGTGTTTTATGAAATGTTATACTGCAGTACGAGTTCAATGTGTAGATACTTTCTTTTCTCTTGATTATTAGGCAGGATGGGTAATTGTCATGCTACAGTATGCCTACTCTTTTCGGATAATATATATGAGCATAAGCTATTTTCCTATCTTGGACGACGAGTAATCGAGTCTTGAGCTAAGCCCTAGAAATCTTAGTGCCATAATGCCTTTAAAATCCTTCTAGCCATTATCTGACTGTTACGTCATTTGATATCTGTGGTTAATTTAATGTCAAACAAATGTTGAATTTATTGTACGAAGAAAGCACTTTTACTTTCCGCAGGCTATGATTTTCTATGGCATTTTCAAGCTTTTATCCAGGATGAGTATGAAAGAAAGCTAGTTGAACCTTTTTAATGATTTATTATGCAACCTTGGCTTGGCTGAATGTAGAATTCAGAAGTAAGAATGCTGGAAAGAAGGCAGCTGCGTCCAGGATAAAAGAAGCGAAAAAGAGGAAGATAGAAGAAGAGCCTACAGTTGAAGGTACTGATGGTGAAAGCAAAGATGATGTCGAAAATGACAATGACGATGACGATGACGATAACGATAAAGATGAAGATGAAGACGAAGACAAAGACGAAGTTGAGAATGGCGGCAGTGATGACTTAGAAACATGATGTATTTTGTACTTAAAATGAGGTTATTCCTCACTCAGTACGCATAAGATGGTTTACAAATCTTCTAGGACTAAATGTATATTTTTTCTGAGACTAATTTAGGTCGTATATTGTGAGCGGCAGCTGCACTTTTTGGCAAGTTCTGTATCTCTGTCCACATGGTAGTGAGAGAGGTTCCCATACCTTATCAAGTCCATTTGTTTTCTGGATTTTTCCCCATAGTTTTTCGAATGCCAGACATGAAAGGACATGTTCGTTTCTTAGTTTCTGACGTATAAAATCCACAAAATGTTGGTGCATTGGTACAGAAAACTCAACAATTATGAAATATTATTATTATTATTCCACCAATGGGATGGGATACGTATTCTTGAGACATGATCGGTATGTGTAACGGCTTAAGTCTACCGTTAGTGGATTGTTTTTGGGCTTTTCCTTTTGAACTTCTACCAAATTTTTTAAAAATGCGTATGGTAGGAAAATATTTTCACATCCTTCAAGTGTTTCGTTCTCCTCCCTCTCCAATCGACGTGGGATCTCACAATCCACTCCCTTTTGGGGGAAAGGTTTTCACACCCTTCAAAAGCGTTTCGTTCTCCTCCCTTTCCAACCGATGTGGGATCTCATAATCCGCTTCCCTTTAGGGCCCAACTCCTTGCTAGCACATTGCCTCATGTCCACCTCCCCTTCGGAGCACTTTGCTAGCACATTGCTCGGTGTCTGACTTTGATACCATTTGTAACGATGCAAGCTCACCATTAGCAAATATTGTCTTCTTTAAGCTTTCCCTCCCTTTCGGGCTCTCTCAAGATTTTTAAAATGCACCTGCTATGAAGAGATTTCACCTTTATAAATGATGTTTCATTTTACTCTCTAGTGGGTTCTCACACTTAATTGAAATTTAAATAGAAATCTTCGTTTTTTTATTAGGTAATTTACCTTGCAAGATCATTTTATCAGTTGTTTAAATTAATATCATATGCTTAATTATAATTTGACAGCCCCTTTTTGAGATGTTTTAGGTAGCCGACTGGTCAAAACGGTTGCATCAGTTATGTACTCGCTTACCACGTAAGGCATACACATTCTCAAATTCGAGATCACCAATTTTATGACAGATGATTGCTAAAACGTATTTCTGGTCTCTCTAAAAAGTACTAGGGAGGAAAAGGAACAAAACCGAGGGGAGAACACATAAATTAATTTGAACTGTAACCTAGGTAAGGTTAATACAACACATTACAAACCCCATTAATTAGCTAGCTCCACTCTTAATCATCAATACTGAAGAATAATCTATGATCACTTGTTAGGCGAGGGAGAGGCACTTCCAGGCCGACACTCATGTTTTGTTCACGGGCAGAATGTCCAACCGGCTGGAATTAATATGGCCGATACCTGCGACCATGGCCACTGTCATGTGTATGTCTCCCCCCCCTACTAGAACTGCCGCCACTTTTACTGCCACTTCCCCCACCGCTGCCGCTGCCGCCACCGCTTCTTGGATGTGGTGGTGGCGTCATCATTTGTGACCCTGGTTGTTGCCTGCAAAAGAAATGTGGGAGTTTGGCATAAGCTATCAGAGCTGTAACTTAAAAGTGCCGGAAACAATTTACTCTAGGATGGATTGACAGACTTCTCATGCTTTTCCAGGTAAGTAAACCTAAAAGCAACCTCACTAAGGAAATGAAGCGGACAGGACCTTCAAAACGAAGGCAGTCGTTTTAAGCTAGGACTTCTAATGCAACCCTCTTTTTCAACTCTCTCAAAATAAAATCTGTTCCAATCATATTTTGATTAGTATATTCCATTGAAGGTAAAGAAAAGTGATCGAGCTTACAAGACATAGCCAATCCGTCCATCAGGTAGCAACATTGGCATCATTGCCATGCCAGCTGGAGTTGGTCCTCTTCCATATATCAACGGCTGCAGCACAAGTGCAATTCAATCAGATTTTTCTTTTCCTTCTAAAAAAATGTGAACTGAAAACCATTCATTCAAGACAGAGAGGCAGATGGAACGGCACAGTAGTCTACTGAAGAGAAGCGTTAATCTAAACTAATCACTCCAAAGACAATGGATGAAATGAAAGCCACAAAAAGTTCAGGATGAAAATTTTAGAGAACATCAAATCGTTCCTCCAAATGAACTAGAAGAATCAAAACCAGCGCTGTTGTATCGTTACTTTGGCAAGTGACATTCACAATACCCGTTGAATTCTTCTGAGCTCCAATTATAACTATACTCCTAACCACTTGTCTAGACAAAAGGATAACACAAAAGGAGATGAGATAAATAAATACAAACATTATACCTGACCAAAACCAGAAGCACCATATCCTGCATTTACAGCACCATAAGCACCGCCAACAAAGCCATATCCAACACGAGGTGGATAGTTAGGAAGCAATCCAGATTTTTGGCTATTCGATCCACCAGACTTCTGGTCTGCCTGTGGTTTTGCAAGAGAACACTCCAAAACTTGACCTGTTATATAAGTACAAAGAACGGATATCAAAGATCAACCCCATTTGGTGGTGGGTAAAATGAAAAAATTTAGAAGAGCTTCTGAAGAAATGATCACCATCCAATTCATATTTTTCTGTATTTTTTAAAGCCTTCATAGCACTGCTCCTCTCCGAAAAATGTACAAAACCAATTCTATTCTTCTCTTGACCAGACTTTGCAGGAGGCAAAACCACTTTTGTAATTTTCCCATGATGGTCAAACAGTTTTTTCAACTGCTCCTGCGTTACATTCTTTGGTAAATTCTTCACATAAACTGCCTTCACCTGCATGGACCAAGAAAAGAAGACCAAACTATTATTGAAAACAGAAAACCCAAAGATTAAATCTGAAAACAAATAAAACAGAACTTAATAAGTCCCATCTTCTGTTAATAATCAACGGAGGTCATAAATACAAAAACAAACTTTTAGGTGCAAAGGACTCTAGTCATATCATCATAAAAATTGAGACAACTGCCTCGATTATTCTAAAAAAATAGTTGTTAAATTAAAAACTCAATAAATAACTATTAATTTGACAATTTGACTTTTTTTTGTCAACAAATTTATGTACACAGATTAAAAAATGTCACGAATAATGAAATCTTGAACAATGTTTCAAGTTCACACTCATTAAAAGCATATAAATAATTACATGAAATTCATTAGCTACAATTATATAAATAAATACAAAATCAGTCTACATTTAGTTGACCCATAAGCTAATTTATTTAACAATCCGAGTTCAACAGATATTTTAATAAAAGCCATTTGATACTTATTTATTATAACATGAATCAAAAAAAGAAACACGCCTGATGAATGGACTAATAACGGGAGAAATCTAAAAGCAATTGAGCAAGACCTGTGAAGCAGCAGATGAATCAGCATTTTTTGGGTCCGCCCAACTAACAGTTGGAGCATTGTCATCAAGCTTAAATTTTGGGTTCATCATCTTCTGCCTTGAGTACTCAGCACATGCATGATTATAATAGTCAATAAACGCAAAACCCCTGTTATTGCTAGTATTCTTCATATCCTGCAACAAAATTGGGTAACATCAAATCCAAGAAACTAGCACACCAGGTTATGTTGCAGAAACTTATACAGTCTTCCAAAAGGAGTAAAATCATTGTGGAACAAGAACACAGCATAGTACAGATGTAGAAAGAGGTCATGTTAAAATATAACATGAAAACTCTGTCATGCTAACCTTTACTAGTTCCACCGCAGTAACTCCAGGTCCAATGTCCATCACAACTTTCCTAAGATCTTCCTCACCCCAGCTCCTGGGAACATTACCCATGAACAAACGGTGCTTTGCTTGAGATGATGAACATTTTATCTTCTTCCCCTATGTCACATGAACAAGCAGAGAGAAGGTCGTTAAAAAAACTGGGAAAAGATATTGGGAAGAACAGGCATGGAAGATTCCAAAAATTTTAAATATTTACAAAATATCAACACTAGCTTCCAGCTTTGCACTTAATGTATCAACTTATTGGTGTATGGACTATGAACAGAAGTAAAAAGGGAACCTTGAATTCCATGTTATTCAGCCCATCAATTGCTTTAGAAGCCAACTCCACACTTTTATAGGTAACAAATGCAAAGCCCTTATTCTCATTTGAATCTTTACTTTTCATAATGCGAACCTGCTTGAAGCAAAATGCCGTTAGTCCTGAGAAAACCACATAATCTGGATATGAAATAAATAAAATTGGGATTACCTCGGTAACTTCTCCTATGGATACACAAAAACTTCTTAAATCCTCTTCAGAAGTATCTTGAGGAATACCACCAATATATACTTCAGAACCATGAGGAGGTAGGGCAAGAAGCTCGTCATGTTTTTTCTTTTCATCCTCATCAATACTATTCTCATTTTGGGCATTAATCCCATTGTCATTATTTCCAACATCCTCCACTCCTTCAACATCTTCTTCCTCAACCTCCTCCTCCTCCTCCACCTCCTCCTCCTCTTCCTCTTCTTCAACTTCTTCTATTTCTTCCACCTCCTCCTCCTCTTCTACTTCTTCGTACTCAACATCTTCTTCCATTACCTCCTCAGGGTCATTATCAACATCCAGGTCTACCCTCTCATCAGAGTCAACCGGCTTTTCAGATTCATTCTTCTTTTCAGGTTCAACTGGCCTAGCGGTAGATGAAGCATTTTCCTTTCCCCTTGGCATCTTATTTGTCTAATTAAACAAGCTTGCAAGGTAACTGTGAAGAAGGCACACAGGCCAGAAGAATTCATGGGGAGATATAAAAAATTACTGAGAGGAGGAAACAAAAAGAAAGGCCAAATGGAGTAGAAAAATATGAAGCTGAAATGAAAAGTTGTCATGAGAATAGACTCAAGAGGATTGAAATGTGAAAGACTTTTTTTCTAGAGGGACAATGTTTGTAACACAAGTAGCATAAAAGAGAGTGGTTAATGAGTCTCTCAGTGACTACAATGAGATTTACGGAGGTGGTGCAAAACAACATAAAGATATGAATTTCTTGAAATCAGAACGATTGCCATACCAAAAAAATTCTTTTGACAAATTAGCTTTCTACATCTTTTTTCAGGGGGTAACATTTCTGAATATCTCACGAAACTAATGTTAATGGCAGCAGAATAAATTATGGAGACAATTGAATGTTTTACTTTAATGCAAGGACATAACAATGCCACACAAAGTAGCATATGAGATATAATGGGACCATTTCGATATAAAAGGTTTAGACAAAAAAGGAATGTGATTGCTGCTACAAATGGAGAATCAATTTTGTCCATCTCAGAAAAACATATACCAGTTCCAAACAACATACCAATCTGTGTACCCCCTGCAAAAAGAATTAAGAAATTGTACTCAGATGGGGGAATCATCGTCCTGACCGTCATAACAATCAGTAAATCATATCATATAGAAAGACTCCTCACTCGGTTTCATCTCACAAGCAACACATAAATTTACTAAAAGCTAATTCTCTTACTTAGTCAAAACTTGAAAGATCGGAAACAAATGGAAAAAAAACAAACATCAATAACAAATTAGTAACACTGTCACATGAAACAATCCTAAAGTTTTTTTGCGTTAACATGTGGAGGCATTATACTCACAATAGCAATCCCCCTCCCAGCTGATTCTTGGAAGTTAAAGAGATCGACCATTTTATCGTGTGTCTAGGCATACAATGCACACAAAACCTCCCTTTTTCCTCAATGAAAGGTGATCTCCATAGAGATAAAAACCTATAAATACCTTCACCTCCCCCACCCCCCAAATCTTGTATAAGGATGTTTGGGAACCAGATATGTTTAAAATATTCATCCATATAGACGTTTAAACAAATATAATGGGTTATAACAAACTTCCGTAGTTGCATTGTAACCACGTTGGAACTTGTGTTCGATGGATAGAAATTTGTTTCAGTCCATGCATGTGTAGTTCCTTTTCCGTTATTTGTATGGGGAAAAAAGGGTATACTTTCTCTGAGTCAAAATGCTTATCAGCCATAGACGTGAATTCTCAATTGCCCTAAGCAATGGAAGAAAAAAGTTCACCCATGACCAAGTAGTTTGCTCGATATCTTTACTTATGGTTTTAAGTACATGAAATCCACTTTCTACCCATTAACAATTAAAGAAGTTTGGAATCAATTAGTCACAAAAATCAAAATGCCATGAATTGAAGACCTGGAATTACCCAATATACGAGAAGAGTCAAAACCTACAAACGTAAAAAATACTGTATTTCGGTGCACAAGTGTCTTACATCTACCTCAAACAATATTACATCAAACCTCATCGAGTCGCGCAAATTCTATTCTATCTCCTGTTTCATATCTCTTCTTAAAAGATTCAAATTTGAAAGTCTCGAATATTAAACAAATAAATGCTTATCCAATCCATTCCCGAATAATTCTCAGATAATTTTCTTTCACTTCTACTAATAGTATCGCATAAGTACGAACATTCTCTTTCACTTTTCAATGTTAAATTCTTTGATAACGATACCTTCCGCCTTCAAATTTTTCACCGCTTGCATTAGTATTCCCAATATATCCCACCCGTCCAAGCACCATAAAATACAAGAAATGGAAGATGAAGCTGTAAATTTCGACTTAAAACGACAAAAACCGCAGAAAAATTCGGAGAGTCGCAAAGGAAAACGAACAAAAAGACAATAGTAGCGCAGGAGAAGAGTAGAGAAAAAAAAAATATAGATTGAAGAAAGACATGGATGATGAGATAAGGAGAAAAAGAGTACCAAAGATGCTTTCTGTGAGAATTTCTCCAAACTACTAAGAGAAACTCTGCCGAAACTGAGAGCTTCAAACGAAGAATCGTAGAAAATATTTGCACCCCCCCTGCTCTTACCCGAGGAACGAACCCTAGACTCCTTCAAGGTAGATTTTGGGGCTTCCTTGCTATTGATGGATGGGCCAGTAACCCCACCAGAATCAAAATTACGAATTTGGGCTCCTGTCGTGCCTTTATTTACGGATTAGCCATTGAATTCTGCCCTTCCACATTATTCGTAATGATAATTAATAAACCAACATTTAAATCTTTATTTCCTTCAAATATTTGTTTATAAAAATAGTTTAAAATTAAAGCATTCAATTTTTTTTTTATTATTATTATTATACGCTCATGATTCTACAAATATGAAATTACTATAAACGACGACTATTACATACTATAAACTAAAAACTTCAAATTTGTATAAAAACACGATAACTTATTGTATTGGTAGAATTTATGGTCATTAGCTGTCAATAGTGGTGAATGGTGATTGCTCGTGGCAACGATGAACGATAATGAGGTAGCAATGGACTAGTGATGGACAACGGTGGCTGTTGACAATAGGTGTCAGCAGTGGGCACGATTGATGAGGCAACATTGAACTCTATGTGGTAAAATTATGTTCTCGACTTCTTCTTTGGTCGAGTCTAAAAAAATGACATGTCTACTAAGCCACGTTTGCCCAGATTATATGTTATAAACACATTAGTGTTACATACTCGCTTTTAGCTTATAACATTGCTTTCTTTTAAATTCAATTTGAAATTTTCACTGATTTAGAACAAGTAAAGCTAACGCTCAAAAATCTTGATTTTGTTATCTTTTCAAGATTGATCATTGTCCCCAACATTGCTAACATCATGTTCATCTTCAACAGCATCATGTTCTTCATCAGCTTCCTCTTCCTCATCTTCTTCGTGGGCGTAGTGATTGGGTTGAACAAATTGCAGTTTCAGACGTCCATGCTCTCTACGTGTTTGTAGAAATTCCTGAGTGGGAATTCTTACTTCTGTCAACACAAACCTTCCATTTTGCCTGTAGGATGTGAAGCAAACCCCTGCCTTTCCACTCCTTCCTATGAAAGATAGCGGTGGAGGGAAGGCTCCTCTGCTCATCCGTGGCCTCCTAAGCTCGCCACTGGAAGCCCCAGATGCAAGATGCTTCACACAGGTACTCACCACTTTGTCTTCTTTGATTTGCCAGTTTTCATTGATCATATCACTCTGCAAGTCCTCAACATCATCAGAACTCTCAGACCCAAGTCCCTCTGTGCAAAATTGCAAACTTTCTGACTTAAGCGAGGAAAACCCAGAATCATGTTTTGGGTTTTTGTTTGTTGACATTTGGGTTGAATCTATGGAAGATAATGGAGCTCACCAAATAGCTCAGAAGGTTTAAGGGTGTGGCTCCATGATGCCGTGGTTGGCTCAAGAGGGGTTGGAGTTTCAGGCAGGATGTTGTGGAGGTTTTTGCAGGCAGCCATGTCTTGGCTCTTTGGAATTGGGACTGGTGGTTTTGAAGAAATGAGTTCTTGCAAAGATCGATGGATGCACGAGATTGGCAATGGGTAGAAACAAAGAAGCTGATGGTTATTAATTAGGCCAGCTGAGTTTTTTCTTTCTTTTTTGGTTTCTTGGAGTGGAATATAGACAGGTGGTTGTAAGGACAGGACGTGGATTTGGTGGCTGTCATTGTTTTGGAAACTAAACTATGTTTTCCTCTCGACATTTGAACTTAGGATGTCTCCGTTGTTAACATTTTCATGTTGCTATAATCTTCATGCAGAGCCAAAACATACATGAAACAGCTTCAGGTGTTTTGCTTCCTGTTTAGTGCTTCGAATTATTGAATTTGATTATGTACGGTAAGATTCTACGTCAGTCGAGAGAGTAGAACGAAACATTTTTTATGAAAACTTCTCACTAGTAGATACATGAAAGAAATCTCAAAAGAAAAAGTCCAAAGAGTACAATATTTACCAGTAGTATAGGCTTGAGCGGTTACAAATGGTATCAGAATTAGACACTGGGCGATGTGCCAACGAGAACGTTGGATCCTTAAGAGAGTGAATTGTGAGATCTCATATCGGTTGGAGAGGGAAATGAAGAGTGAGATCCCACATCGATTGGAGAGGGGAACAAAGAAGTAGTGTAGGCTTGAGCGGTTACAAATGATATCAAAGCTAGACAATGGGCGGTGTGCCAACGAGAACATTGAATCCTTAAGAGAGTGAATTGTGAGATCCCATATCGGTTGGAGAGGGAAATGAAGAGTGAGATCCCACATTGATTGAAGAGGGGAACGAAGAGCCACAACACGGACGTTACGCCCATAAGGGGGTGAATAGTGAGAGCCCACATTAATTGGAGAGGGGAACGAAGAGCCAGACACTAAGCAATGTGTCAATGTGGACACTGGGTGCCAAGGAAGGTAGATTGTGAGATCCCACATCGATTAAAGAAAGGAACGAAGTAGAACCTTGAGAGAAAGCCCAAAAGGGAAAAGCGAAAGAGGGCAATATGCTTGGTTGGTCGGTTACACGAACCATTGAAATCATTGAAATCTCAATGTTAAGTAACTCCTTTTGTTAGGTGATAATGTGTCTTTCTTGTGGTTATAGCATGTGAACAGAGGATGTGAAAACGTTTCTTCCTCTGATTCGTGAGTGCTTGTATGATCTTGCCTCTTGACAATGAAATAAGGAATATTCCAAACGATACTCCTCACATGACACGCCCAGATGGATGGTTGGCTTTCAATTCTACAGCCGATGGGTACCTGCAAATGGACAGCTCATTGGTGCAGCTGCCTCTTAAACTAATACATCATTGTGCTTCCAGAATTCAATTCATAGACGCTTAGAACTGATTATTTACTCATTACATAACTGAGAAGAGGCAATTCTTGTGCCAATGATACTCAGAGGAAAACAAGAAGGATACACAAAACCACCCAGTGGGTATCATATTGTGCTATGCTAACGCTATCCATAGTGAAGCGCAGTCGCAAAACCAATTAATGAAACACAACTGAAAATTAGCAACCTCATATGGGTTAGGTCAGCATCTTCATTCAACAAGCTTTTAACAGTATCTATATAGGCACATCAAGCTTTGTTAACAGCTTTACCTATCTATCGCCATGCTTCAATTCGCTCGGTCCATGAGTTTATACAACTCAGGTTGCTGAGCCGCTTCTCTACTGGTACCGGTGCCAGGATTCGAAATACAGAGTTCTGGTTATTTAGTTTGTTAGTTTCCCTTTTCAGTGCTGAATCATTTGTTTGATCAGTCTTGTTCTTTTCAGTGTGGCATAAAACTTCTTCTGCCTTTAAATCATTGCCTTCAACTGTTTCTTTGTCTTCGTGGGCATTCAGGAAATCTCCATACCCATTAAGCAGCAGTTTCTTAACATGGCTTAGCTGTGCGCCTTCATTGCAGTCGGAGTAAGCTTCTATAACAGGTGGTGCTGAAAGAAAATCAGGCACGTCCTGCTCTGACGCCTGAAATACGGTGACAGTATTTCCGAGGTAAGGCTGTGAAGGACTCTGGTGTCCACTCTCGTCCGATGGCTCTAAACGTGTAGCAGCAGAGTCAAGAATGGAGTCTTCCCTTCCCCGCAGTGTCCTAACGATAAGCATCCTGAGAAAGTTCATTACTTGGACAGCATACATCAGTGCATTCAACGGGTCGGCCATCTGCACCGTAAGATGGATCAAAAGATGGTTAACTACAGGCATTCAACAATAGAGGAAAGAAACTTGCATTCTTGCGTTATCTCGGGGTCAGTTCAGCACATGTAAACACAGGCATCCAAAAAGGATTAAAGAAAGCAACAAATGTTGTCTCGAGACGGTGGACTCAACTAATACAAACTATTTGAATTTCACCTGAGTCATATTTGGTGCAAAAACCATAGCGATGTTGCGAGCATTCATCTTGTTGAAATGTTCCTGCTGGACAACATCTGCCATTAGGTTGATTGCCCAATCCAACAGAGAAGCTTCACTAAGAGGCAGATGCCTTATCAGCTCAGCACATTCTTCTTCTGTCTCACACTGCATGACGCGCTCGGACGATAGAGAATCCAAAATCCCAGCTGGGAGTTCTCTGAACCAAGCCTATTAATTTTAATAAGTAAAAGTTGAGAATAGGGAAGTAAACATTACTCACATAAGTAAAACGTGTTTGCTAAGAAGAGGCTTCCACACTCTTATAAGGAATGTTTCGTTCCCCTCTCCAACCGATATGGGATCTCACAATCCACCCCCTCCCCTTGGGGGCCCAGCGTCCTCATTGGTACACTGCCTGATGTCTGGCTTTGATATTGTCCTCTTTGAACTTTCCCTTTTCGGAGTTCCCCTCGAGGTTTTAAAACGTGTTTGTTAGAGAGAGGTTTCCACACCCTTATAAAGAATGTTTCGTTCCCCTCTCCAACCGATACTGGATCTCACAAGCATAAAATATTCAAGGGAAGAGAGCAAGGATCTAAGTTCATATTCTTGTGCCATTACGTTTTCTTCTTATAAACGAGAACCAAAAGGGTTATGGTTTTATCGCTTCATAAATCTTTCTACGACAAGTTTAAACAGAACAATCGGCAGCACTAATCTTCACAGATTTATCTCTTTTAGACAAAGTTAATTCGGGATAACCTTGATAAGGCCAGCTAAACAATGTACATCAATGTCTTCCGGTACCACGCCTTGATTCAATTGATTACGTACATACTCCTCTTGACTGTTTTCCGCATTAATTCTGAAAATACCTTCAGCCTGAAAACGGGTGAAAAGACGGATCAGAAGCACACAATAGGATGAACCATTTAACAAAAAGTGTAGGTACCTGCAAGCCACCTTGAGCATACAGACAGTGTTGCATTAGTATTAGAATCGTTGGAACACTGTTCCCTCTCGAGTCATACGACAATTGCATAGATTCCGTGGAAACTCCAAACACAGTCGTACTATACATTTAATTTAAACGAAATAAGTCCTATAATATGCAAGCAACAAGAAAGCACCAAAATGCAGCAAGGAGCAAGAAAAACATGGTTTAACCATGAATCTAAGTGTTTCAAGAAAGGGCAGCCACAACGTGACAATTTTTCCTACATTTGATACGAGTTTCTTCGATACGTTTCATTAGAACATCAAATTCATCTTCTCTTCTCTTTCATTTACATTTCTGGGATCAAATGAAGTAACAGGACGCATCGATCCTTCTTTCTTTTTTAAAACAACACGAATAGAATAAGTTAACATCAGGGAAAAACATGACAAGTTTTCATTTCCATGATGCCTCAACTACAGGAACAGAAACATTATGCAACAAATCCAAAATCTCAAGCATCAGATATCCACAACAGATGAAATAGATAGCTATTCAGATAGATAGATATAGATATAGATAGCAATCAGAGAAAACACAACTTCCAAAATCCCACAAACAAACCGAACAAAAGAGCATAAAGAACAAGGGCATGAAGAAAGAGTACCTAGCACTAGGAGCCCTGCGAGGAACTTCTGGTTCAAACTCAACAGGCAAACCCAAGAACCCATTAAACCTATCAAAAGTTACATGCGTAACATGGCGGACATTAGTCGGCCAACCGATCTCCATTGCACATAGCTCGGTTCTATCCCTCTTGCAAGTAATCAAAGATTTCCTGAAAAGGGTCACAACTAAAGCCAACAACGAGAGCTGATCTCTTCTTTGCTTAAATCGATCCTTCCCCACCTCCTCCCCTTCACAGTTCATCACAGAAACATCCCGATCGCCCTCTACAGAACAAGATGAGGAAGACGGCGAAGTGGGTGTTTGAGAATGCATGTTCATAAGAAGAGATCCATCATTCGGAGAGATTGGAGAAGAAGAAGAAGAAGAAACCCTTCTACGAGATGAAGCAAAATGAGAAGGGGAATGAAGAACAACCTCAGTCATGGCCGGCAATGGAAGAACAAGAACAAGAACATAAAGAAACCCCCAGAAATGTTCTTCAGAAAACAGAACAAACAAAGATTTGGCCTAAGAGAGAAGAAATTGGGGGCTTAAGAGGTGAGAATCCCCTTTTGTTCTCTTTATAACGCTGTTTTTTATTTTTAATCGTGGAAGAAGCAAGGAAAATGAATGGGTTGTGGAATGTGGGTGGGGGAAATCGCAGAAGGAGACGATAGTAAAAGAAATTCAAGGCAAAAACCCACAAAACAAGAGAGCAATTATTACTAATTTTAATTTTGGCAGCTTCAACCAGACGCCTCCCCCTTTTTTTTTCCTCCTCCTCCGCTTTCTTTGATGGTGGGTCTCAAACCCTTTTCCTCCTTGGCTCCCCATTTTCACTCCCACAACAAGAACAAACGCGCCTCAACTCAAAATTCTCCTTGAATTACTCATAGGAACAGAAACTTGTAGCGCTTCAATTCAACCAATGATGGGTATCAGCTCAAATTTCATAAGAAAAAAACACTTTATTTTGTTAATTAAATGCATCATAGACACTAAATGTTTAATGGGTCAATCAAATCTCTTGCTTTCAAACTATTGTTTATAAGAAAAAGGAGTTTCCTTATATAATATATCTCAGATTTTGTCGTTTTTGTTGCAATCTGATTGAATAATGGAATAATGTGAGATGCTGACGGAAATAGACAATTATCAAACAAATGAAATTAAAATAAAATTAGAAACAAAATCAATAACTTTATGCAACTATCCTAACTCTACATATTTTAAGTTGTCACTTTTTAATTATTGGTTAATTTAAACGGCTTCTTAACCATCCATGGATTAAACCCAGCTTATTATTGTATGTTAAATTACAAATGTTATGTTTTTTAAAGTTTAACGTGAGAGGAGAGATTCAAGTATGCTTTTAGACTGAAAGTACATGCCTTTATCGGTTGTGGTTGTGGTTGTACTATGATATTGTTCATTTTTAGTGTAAGCTTTCATGGCTTTGTTCTGAACTTTTCCAAAATGTCTAATTCTAATGGAGATAATATTATTTTATTATAAACTCATGGTCATTTCCTAAATTAGTGGGACGTGAGATTTTCATCCAATAAATATAAGTATAAGAAATTCTAAATAATTCAATTAAAATAAAAAAAAGAAAAAAAAACGAGTTCAATTATAAATAAAATGGAAGGACATTGATAATTTTACACTCATTTCACCTAAATGCTGCTAAAGAAAAACACAAGACAAAACAGACATGATTAATTCCGTAACTCCATGGAATGATCAAGAAAGAAACAGCTCAAGTTGGGAAGTGTTTTCCTGATCAAGCACATCAAGGAAGACGGGATCAACGGTGAGATGGCTGTCCACGTGGACCTTGAACTTGTGACTCCACCAAAGCACTCTTGCAATTCCCCCAATATCCACACTCGCATCCAGAACCATTTCTCGCTTCATGACGTCGGAGATGAACCGGCTGCCGTTGTGGGCTAGCTTCAGGCCGTCGAGTCGGGCTGGGAGGCGGAGGACCTGACAGGACCGGGCCTGCTGCGAACCGGCGTCGACCTGGGCCGAGCCGAGGAGGGAGCCGTCGTAGAAAATGGACATGGAGGTAGAGGAGTAGTGGATGGGGGCCACGTTGGGGTTGGTGACGTGGACGGTCAGGATGAGCTCGGCGTCAATTACCGGCGGCTTCAGCTTGAAGGAAGTGAACTTAATTGAGATAAGGTGGAAGGTTGGGTCCTTGGGCTTGGCGGAAACGATCGCTGTCGCTGCAATCGCCGACGCTGCTCCGACTAGGGCGGACCCCCAGCTCCAGCTCCAGCTACGCTTTTTCTCCATATTCTTCGCCGGAGGTGAGGTCGGTGAGATGAGAGGCACTCAATCCGACTGTGCGAGACAGACACAGAGTGAAGTTACAAGAAAGGTGTAGAAACGGTGGGAGTGGTAAATGACGGTAATAACCTTCCCCAATGGACTGAACACCCTAGAGACTGTGATCGGAGGAGAGTAGTTTAGGAAAAGAAGAAATATGTTAGGATTGGGAAAGGAATCGACGGATGGTGGACTGAAATATCACATGCCCGAATCGATTTCGGTTAACGACAAAACATCAGATTTAAAGAGGCTTCTCCGTCCTTATAATAAATAATTCGTTTTTCTCTACAATCGAGGCACAATCTAACAACCCACACCTCTCTTGAGATCCAGTATCTTCGTCAGTACACCAGCTCAAGTTTCTCACTAGCAAATACAGTCCACTTTGATTCATTACGTATTTAAAAAACATCTAAAAAAGATTTCCACTACCTACCTTATAAAGAATACCTGTAGATATGAAAACAGACGTCTAATGATCTTTTAAGAAATCCAGAATTGGGAGAAGTTACCTTCATTGCTGTAACCCTCCAGCATTCATCATCGCAATAAATTCCCTGAATGACATTTACAAAGTTACGTATATAATTCTAAACGATGCAGGGAATATGATTTTAGCAAACAAACATCATTCGTTATTTCAAATTTTTGCAACACTATACACAAGTTGGTGGCATGAAATTCGAGAAACGTCAGATTTCAATGTTTTCTGCTCAATACAAAATGTCATACTTGCTGCTTCCCCTTCAATGGACAATTGAAATATATATAAATCTGTTGGAGTTGGAACACAAATAAAATACAACTCTGATGGGTTGTAAGCAATAATGATGGTTTAGATCGGCTCATCGTAATCATACCAAACTCCTCAACCTTCCTCCCCAAACTCTTTTGTAAACCTTTCATGAATCTCCAGATCAGATTTACTCACAGTAGGTCTCTGTCTAGCTAGGACCTTGTCAAAGTCTGTTCTTGTAATTGGAGGAGGAAGAATCTGCAACAAAAACAAGCAAATGTTTAGCGAGACAAATTGCAGCCTGAAAAAGGGTGCGTTTCTTTCTTCCATATCATTCAAGACATTAGAATTAACGAACGAGAAAACTTCCTTTTATCAACCAGAGACTTGAGTCGAATTATTATAAAGCATCCCCTGATCAAAAGACAAATCTTTTTCAACATGGAGAAGCATATACAAGTGTATAAAGATTTTATTTTAGGATGATGCATAAAATGTTGACATAGTAGCCTGTATTATTATATCTTCCAGCTCGTCACTTCATGAAAGCTGCGAATAAATGGCCATAAGCAGCCACAAGAAGCACCAGTGCTGCACGTCGTCAAATATCAAATTTTAAATCCAAATATTCATCTCAGATGGGAAGATGCAATGTACCTTTGAGGCGAGTCCTTTGCCTGCTAATTCTTGCATGGTAATTTGGACAGCACCTTGTTGCTTTGGTCCACATGGTACCCACATTCCATCAGGAGTTTTAAAGAAGAACATAGCATCTTGTGTTTTACGAACAGGTTCAAAGAGCACATCCTTCACCTGCAAATTCAAGGGGTCCATGAACTACCTTTTGACTAATCTCTGATTAAGATTCAAGGCACAAATAATAGATAGATATCAGTTCCTCCAACTAATATTTTATACTTACACAAACTGAAACATCTGAACCTGAGAAACCCTCTGTCTTGCGTGCTAAGCTTTCAAAATCTGCTTCTGTCAAATTATGTGGCGTATCCCCCAGATGCACCTATTTAAATACACCTAAGAATGTTAGCAGGGTTCATTACGGAAAAAAAAAAAAAGTTGCTTTTTACAGGAAAAAAATAAAATATAATTCTCAGAACTTTGAACATATGCTGCCTGGCTTTCAAATCGGGAAGAGGGATGTATATCCGCTTGTCGAATCGCCGACGAATGGCCTGTAAACACTATCTATCAGTCAAATATGCATTGCATTTCCATAAACCCTAACATGATATGGAAATAAACTTCACCTGATCCAAAGCATAGGGAGTATTTGTTGCAGCAAGAACAAGAACTTTCTGATCGTTGTTTCCTACACCCTATTAATGCAAGAGATATATGATTCAGTTTCAAAATTATAATAAAAGAGGTTAAATGAAACAATATCCATGGGGCTTGTTTGGAAACTATTTCTAAATCAGTTTCTGATTTTTGGACAAAAGTTCTACTAAAACGTATATGGATAACTATTTTTCTTCTTGTTTTCTTTGCCTTAATGGATGACCAATTTTAAAAAATTAAGTAAACATGTTCTTTCTATCAATTCGAGCATAGTTCAACTGGTTAAGATATATGTCCTTGATGAAGAGGTTAAAAGTTTGAATAATCCCAAACTGACTTGTTGATTTCAAAGTTCTTTCTTATCAAATCACACAATTGTGAATGGTGATTTCAATACAAAATTCATTATACCACTATTCTTAAAAACAGTTTAAAAAATAGCTTCCAAACAAACTCTTGTTTGAATATTTTCTTTTTTAAAAAATTAAAAAACAAACTCTTATTCTAAAACTCAATATTTTAAGAGAAGAAAAACATAAAAGATTTGAAATAAATATAACTCCCCAAATGCCCAAACTGTTTCCATCCCCTTTACCCAATTTATTTTTCTTATGTTAACGAATCACTAAGTAATATTCTCCAAAGTAAAATAACAGAGACAACTAACTATAGATTAGCTAGTGTAACATTGAGTAGGCTATTTAATTTTAAATAGAAACTGGACTAGTGATTGAGCAAATTCCATTATGCATCAAAATTCATCTGACAAGTGCTAACTTTTTCAATACAGAGATCGTATGAGAAAAGCAAACAGAAAAAACAAAAAACATGCATAAAACTTGCGGAATATACATTCAAGGGTTAGGCAACTTTAAAAAATAATAGAATGCTAATGAGTTCAAACCCCTCAGACTCAGGGTTGCTCATCTAGGTCCTCAGCTTTGGTCAACTACCAAAATTAGAAATGAGAGCTGGGTAACGAACCCAGTAGACATGGGAAAGTTGGAATTTTTTTGGATATTAACAGGATAGGAAACAAACCAGATATCCTATAACCTAAGACTTAAGAAGCACTGCAAACCCAGGTGGATGGCCAGAATCGAAGAAACAAGTAATTGGACTCCTAACTGTTACAGAACTCTTCAGATACAATCAAAGGCAACTTTCAACCAGCTAGAAAACACTTGAAAGTAGGCCAAAAGCAAGTGAAGACACATTTTCTGCAATTGGGCATTCTCAGGCAAATGAAATGGGCCAACGAAGTACAAGATACTAATAAAAACCCTCCTTTAATACACAAAATATTCATGCCATTACTCTACAAACATACCTGCATCTGCACAAGAAGTTCTGTCTTAATGCGTCTTGAAGCTTCGCTTTCATTACCTTCACCTCGTTGACCACACAATGAATCTATTTCATCAATAAAGATGATAGATGGAGCACTATCTCGAGCCATTTGAAAAAGATTTGAAACTAGCTTTTCACTTTCACCCATCCATTTCGAGACAAGGTCCGAGGAAGAAATGCTAGCACCAGAAAATAAAAAATAAGTAAGAGGTAAAAAACCAGCGAGTAGCCAAGATTAATGATTAATAAAAACACATTCATATAACGTCCAAAGATGCCCAAATAGAATGTGGGGTATGTATGCCCTGCTATCGGATAGTATGGGGGAATAAAAACAAGAAAATAGATAACCAAAAGCCTTACAATTATTTCCCCACTTTATTTATATTTGAAACTGTTCAATGAGTTCAAACAGTCAACAGCCACCAAATGCGTTTGAACTCTATTTCAAAAAATAAATAATTAAAAAGATAGCTAATTTTATTCCTGAAGTTTGTTAAAATCAAGAACCATAACAAGTCCATCGTGCAACTAAATAATGGAAGATCATGATTCCAATCCAGAAAATTCCTACCTTACAGGTTGCACTCAGAAAAGACAAATATAAGAAGAAAAAATCCGAGTGCATTTATTCTCCTGGGCTGTCTAGAGAAAAAGACAGGGTAGGTTCTACCATTCATAATTAAATTTGGCATGGATGTATCCTACATTAAATCTTGCGCACTAAATTGCTACTTCTCTAAACAACTTTGTATAGTAAACTTCTTTTTTCGTTACTTTACCTTCAGTCATATTTTCCTTGAAACTTTCCTGCCAAGCAAAAGAGATGGTCCCATCTAACAGTCTAAAACTCTCAACAATTACCAACAAGAATCTCATTATTATTCAAGTTTTGCTAATGAAAGAGATTAACTCTCTGTTCAAATAAGATTTTAGCCCACTGATTCAATTACTAACAAACTGAAAAAAAAAAATCAAACTAAAAAATTACAATAATTTCAACTAATTACACTACACAAAAAAAAATATATATGATGAAGAAACAGGAACTTTCCATTAAGAATTTGAACAACAGGACATCCAATTTTCAATCATAAATTCTTGAGAGATGCTTGCATAGAACATTTAAAAGATAACGGCTAGGGCAGTGAAGAAACTTATCATAACTAAACAGACCATAGGCTCAAAGAACCATTACCTGAAAAATGTTGAGTCAGCCTCCGTAGCAACAGCCTTTGCCAAGTATGATTTTCCAGTTCCAGGAGGTCCATATAACAAGAAAGCTCTCCATGGTCGCCTCTTACCTGAATAAAACTAGATGATGATCTTTGACAAGAGTATTTAAAAAGTAAGCAGAAACCTTCATAATAGAATACAACTGGAAATGAGAACACGTTCTTTACACAAGTTTATTTCAAGTCAAATTGGGTAATTAGAAGGATAGGATCCAAGCAGTTTATTAGGATAAGAATCACCGTTATACTTAAACTAGAAATCGGAACTCCGGGATCTCCTCTCAACTTGAAGCTAGAGAACAGACAGGACAACCAAGCATTCCAATCCAGCATAGTCGTAATCATTACACATCAAATCAAACTCAAAAGCAGGAAATCCCGAGGCAACGCAACTTTACTGACGTGATTAAGATCATTGCAATCAAACAACAGAGATCAATATGACAATAGATCGAAAGAAGTTAAATGGAACTCACCAGTAAAGAACTGCGGGAACTTCACGGGTAATATTACCGCCTCTTGCAATGCCTGCTTGGCGCTTTCTAATCCAGCGACATCGTTCCACTTGACGTCCGGCTTCTCCCTTATGATCGCGGAATTAAGACCGGCTCGCAGCTTAGCCTGTTCTGGATCTTCTCCATCTCCTCCTTCTCCATCCTTTGGCTTCGTCTTGGGCTTAGTCGCAACCGCCGCATCCCCATTGGAAGCCGGTCCTGGACCGCCATCGTCGAGCACAGCACGTATCTCCTCGGCACGGCGCAAATACTCGGTGAATTTCTGGGTAATGGCTTCCTTAATCTTGGGATTCTTCTCATACTTCAAATGAGTTTTGAAGTATTCCAAGGCGTTCATATACAGTGGGAAGGCTTTCGCGTAATTGCCAGCATTATCTTCCTGTACCGCCTGCTTCACGTACTCGATAGCTTGTTCCTTGAAATTGCTATACATCTCTGGAGTAACTTCAACCAAGTTTCATAGATAAATTCAAACAGCGCGATCGCAAATCGTCTCCCCACGGAAAACGGAAACCCTAGAACATCGATCCTTTGACTCTCGGAATCTCAAAGCATATAAACAATTAAAAACCTAGATTTCAAGCGATGAATTCCCACAGAAATATACAATTTACCGAAAAATCTTTATCTGGAGATCGGAGGATGAAGCTTGAATCGGAGTGTTCCGATGGAAAAATAATACTCAGCCTTACAACCACGGGAATGAATTGAAAGCAAAAAAAGAGTTGCGCCAGTGGGAGGCTAGGCTCGCTTCAGCAAATAGTAGTAGCGTGTCGAAAACTACAAATGGTTGTAATAAAGACTAAATTAGTAAATATATTTCTTACCTTCAAATAATACTTTTAACTTAGATGGAATCATACAAATTTTAAAAAAACAATTTTTTTTTTAATTTTAAAATACTAAAAAATATTCATAAATTAATATTAATATTTTAATCCGCGGTAAAAAAAAAAAAAAAAAATACCTTTTTTATAAAGATAAGGATTTCAATGTTACTATTAAAATTTAATTAGTATTTTTAAAATATGATTCTGTAGGTATTTATTATTATTATTTTTAAGTTGGAAGGTATTAATTTTTTTTTTTTTTTTTTTTTAACTATCTGAAGGTATTTTTGAAAAAATATATATATTTATGATTTCCATCTCAGCTTGACTATAGGCCTTTATCAAAATATGTTCGGAGATGTGGTGAGCTAAATTTGAAGGACCACGACCCTCTACAATAATATGATATTGTCTTTTGCTCCGCATGAGCTCTCGTGACTTTACTTTTAGAGAATTTAGTTTCCCTAAAATGTCTGTGCCAATGAATATAATATTATTTATTTATAAATACATGATTTTTCCCTTAATTAGCTAATGTGGGACTTCTCTTCCAACAATACTCAACACTAAATTCAAACATTTACTTTTTACTGCTAACTCTTGCATGGTAATTTGGGCAACGCTAGGTTGCTTTGGTCCACAGGATTCCCACATGGAGAACTTGGCGAAGAACGTTAGCTACAAAAATGTTCAGACAGCACATTGGCATGAAATTTAATGTGACATAATAAAGGTGGTGTGAGAATTAGAGGGTTCAGGTAATTTTAAAGCGATAAGCGATAAGTCACTGTCGCGGTAGCCTTAGCCAATAAGGGTTTTCCAATTCCTATAGAAAGCTCTCCATACAAAGATGTCATACATTCAATGTGTTGGATGAAAGTCTCATATCGGCTAGTTCAGGGAATGATCATGAGTTTATAATCAAATAATATTATCTCCATTTGTTTGAGGCTTTTTGGGGAAGTCTAAAGCAAAGCCATGAGAGCTTGTACTCAAAGTGGACAATATCATATCATTGTGGAGAGTTGTGTTCGTTTAACACAATGCACGCTCGAACGGTAATAAATTAAATCCGATCTCCAATAACACTTATTGGGTTAAAGATTTTTTTGTTGCTAAATGTTACAACAGACGTTTGAGCTGTTTTGTCGATTCTTACTGTTCGTAATATTATCGGTCTACGAACAAGAAAGCTATAAGTAATACAATTATGAATCTCATGGAGAGTTTGATCCGAGCTCAGGAGATAGTTAAGTTAATGATAAAAGAACCTCTTTTACAAGTACAAAAACACGGGATGGAAAATGATCAAGACCAATACAACCAGAGACTAAAGATTCTAGTCAACGGTGTAGGAAATCTAAATCTCATATAATATGGTTGCGACACTTGGCGCTCACTGATTGGTTGAATTTTTGACATTTTAAGTCAAAATAAAGATAAAAGTCAACATTTTCATGTTCTTAAAAGTATACCTAAATATGCTCCAAAATTAATAAATATTAATAAATAAATTGTTATGATAAATATTAAAAAGACGGACTAAGGTGGGGGGAGAGGCTTGGCGATTTCTAGACGATTTGGATCGCCTGGGGAAGAAGCTCGGCGATTTTTAGATGATTTGGATCGCCAGCCAACTAACAGCCGTGTATTGGTTTTCACGCGGAGTTTCTATTACGGCATTGAACCAACGAAACGCGTATTTAAAGAGGGAATCGGCGTTTTGTTTGGTGGCAAATTGAAGTGAAAAAAAAAAAAAAAAAAAAAAAAATTCAAAGAATGAACGAGTAAAAGGAAAATATAAAAGCAATTGAATTATCAGGAACAATCACGAGAGATAATTTGGAAAAAGTAAGAAAAGGAAAGAAAAAGAAAGAAGGAAGAACAGCAAAGGAAATTGTCTGGAACTTTCCACCACGCAGAAAAGGAATCTCCAAATAACTCACAATCGCCGTTCCCATTATAATCGGTTTGGAGATTCTTTTGTTTTACTTCAAAGCCAGCGTTTCGATTCCTCTCCTTTCTTCCTTTGTTTCTCTCTTTCGGAACATATTGTATTCGGTTCGATCTGCTATTTTGTCGATTGTCTGCTGATTGTTTGAATCATCGCAAACAGGTATTTCTCTGAAGATTTCTGTTCGTGTTTTTGTTTGATGTTGTTCATTTTCTGGATTTGTGGAGAGGTCGTGTTCTTGTTCGTGTGAATTTGATTTGGAGTTCGATTGTTTTCATCGATGGATCTGATTTGTTTTTTCGTTTGATTTATGTTGTTGTAGATTTATAGATATTGAGTTGTTGAATTGAGATCCGGAAAGAATGGCGGAAGAACATAGATGCCAAGCGCCGAAGCTTTGCGTTAACAACTGCGGATTCTTCGGGAGTCCTGCGACGCAAGATCTCTGCTCAAAGTGCTACCGAGATCTGCAGTTGAAGGAACAGCAATCCTCCTCCGCCAAACTCGCCTTAAACCAAACCCTAACATCCGCCGCCGCTGCCACCATCGCGTCATCCTCCTTTGCGGACGCGTCGTTGTTAAATTTCAAATCGGCTTCATTGGAAGCGAACCAGTCCTTTGAGGAGAAGGCGCAGGCGGCGGCAGATGTAACTCCGGCGCCGGCGCCGGCGCAGCAGCAGGCGAGCCGATGCAAGACGTGCAGGCGGCGCCTAGGATTGACAGGGTTCAAGTGCAGGTGCGGGATGGTGTACTGTGGGACTCACCGGTACCCGGAGCAACACGGGTGTGAATTTGACTTCAAAGGGATGGGGAAGGATCAGATCGCGAAGGCCAATCCGGTGGTGAAAGGGGATAAACTACAGAGGATCTGAAGGGAGGAGAGAGAGAGAGGGACAAAATGGTCTTTTCAGTTTCTTTGGTGTGGGGCCAGCGCGTGGAATTGACAGCCGACGGGACGGCGTTGGGACTATTCGCAAAAAATATTGATGGTTGTATAAAAATTCAATAATATGATCTACATTTCAATTTGTTTCCCGTGAAAGTCAGTAGCCCTACAAAATGGTATTTAAAAGGGTGATTAGGTCCTTAAAATAATAAATTATTCAATTAAACTATTTTTATTTTTTAATTTGCTTAAAATTTTAAATGTTTTCTTTGGAAAATAATGTAAAAGGAAAAATAAAAACTAATAATTTAATGTCCATTCCGTTGATTTCCTATGCATTTAATTATTATTAGGTTGACGACGATACCTAACGAGGCTAAATAGACAATATTTGCTAGTATGGATTTGGGCTCACCAGGAGGTGGCATGCCAGTGAGGACACTGAGTCCCTGTGGATTGTGAGATTTTACATCGGTTGGAGAGGGGAACGAAACATTCTTTTTAGGGTGTGGAAGCCTTTATCTAAAAAACATGTTTTAAAATCGTGAGAATGACAACGATGTGTAACGGGCCAAAGCTGACAGTATCTGCTAGCGATTGATTCGATTGTTACAAATGAGGACATCCAATAAAATTGGGACGATATAGAGAAGATTAGCATGAGTCTGCATCAGGATGACACATATAAATCGAGAATGGTATCAGAGTCAAGACACTGAGAGGTGTGTTAGCGAGAACGCTAGGCCCCCATTGCAAGAATGACATGCACAAATCGAAACAACGAGAGGTGTGCCGATCCTACATCGGTTGGAGAGAAGAACAAAACATTTATTGTAAGGGTATGAAAACTTTTCCATAACAGACACGTTTTAAAATCGTAAAGCTGATAGTGATACATAAGGTAAAATTTGATTCTTTTTCTGAAAAAGAAAGGAGCAATATTCCCGGAGTGAACTGACTCTCGAGTAGACCGTCTTCTTATGCCAAAAGAGGAAAAGAAAATACAAAAATAATTGTTTTTGTCGCAAAATTATATGTCCGGGGAATACTATACTCTTATATTATATTCTCTAAGCCAATTACCATCAAAAATTAAATGTACAATACATTTAATTAATCTTATATTATAAGGTTTAGTGTCACGCTCTTTCTCGTAATTGCCAAACAAACCGCCAAAAAGACCATGCCCATCCAATAATAAGGTGCCACGTCAACTCATATTGGAATCGTAGTTTAATTTAAAAGAATAGTTTATATTCCATTTGGGGTATTAAAAAAATCCACAATTTCTTGGATTTGCTGTAAAACTTTGGGAACTGATACGGTGTGAATTTCGTGATACATGATGAGCCAGAGGCGTGATCTGAACCGTCTGATGTAATGTCATAATAAAGAGAGCCACGTGGACTTGTTTGTATGGTTGTTTCCATGTACTGCGCCGCACATTAGTATTTCTGGTGTATATAAAATGGTGCAATAATGGCCGGGAGATCAACGGGAGAATCCTGACCGGAAGCCAATGCCAATGATTCGTGGCTTTCTTTGATTCTCATAATTCGTCAATGGAACCGGCGGATTTATGTTAGGGTTTGTGACTCTGATTTGAATCTTTTGGTTTCGTTAATGATTTATTGAACAGTCACTTACACTTAGTAGAATGCTTTTGTTTTCGTTTAAATGGTGAATTGTTTGGTTTCGATACTGTTCTAACTGGATAATTCGTAGTTCAGTTACTAGCAGAAGTTAATTAGGAAATTTTTTGCATTGGTGTTGCTGTTCTTTCTCCGATTTGGAATCCTGAGGGTATCATTCTCGTTTGATCTTTGGATCTGTGGTTCTTGCTTCTTACCTACTCTTTTCTAATGTCGCCACCGACGAGATTGCATTCACATAAATCTCGCTTTTCGGATTTTTCTCCGAGTTCAAAATTTAAGCATCACAACTGTTTTCTTTATCATCTCATTGGATGGCGAACTTTTTGGAAATGGATCTGAGACGTATTGGTTCAAGATCTGTGCAATCTATGCCCGCATTCATTTAGCATTACCTCAAATCGGTCCGGCGGTTTCACTCTCGCGATGAAGAGTACGGTCCGTCCGGTGTTCAGTGTGTTGCTGTTCATCTCATTTGTTGTGCCTCTCATCTGCCGCCTCATCTTCCGCCGCGGCCTCAGCTCTTTCGAGCTGGAAACTTATGTAATCGGTTCGAGACCACCAGCATTCGTGTTCAATTCCACACTGCTGAAATTTGCTTCGGTTGATTTGGGAGAGAGACAGTCGAAGCGAGATATAGATCAATTATTGGAGGCGAACTTTGGTGGCCCGAGGGCGTACAGGACTTATGCTACATGGCGAAGATTCAATCATTATGACAAGAAAGCGAGGCCCTCGAATAGCTTTCCAGTAACGTTCCGCTCGCCGGCCTTTTACCGACATTGGTTGGATTTCAGGCGGTCATTGAGTAGCTGGGTGAGAAAGAAACAGCTCACGACGGAGATTATGCCGGAACTGGTAAGACTCATCAAAGCCCCAATTGACAGGCAGAATGGCTTTGTCGGTTCAGATAAAAAGTATTCCGCTTGTGCCGTCGTGGGGAACAGTGGAATCTTATTGAACAGTGCTTATGGGAAGCTGATTGACAGCCACGAGATTGTTATTCGATTGAACAACGCAAGAACAGATAATCATGAGAGCAAAGTTGGCTCTAAAACCAACATTTCTTTCATCAATAGCAACATCTTACACCTTTGTGCCGGAAGAGAAGGGTGTTTCTGCCACCCCTATGGGCCAAACGTGCCGACAATCATGTACATTTGTCAACCTGTACATTTCATGGACTACACTATCTGCAACAAATCCCACAAATCTCCGCTGCTGATTACTGATCCGAATTTTGATGCTCTGTGCTCTAGGATTGTGAAATATTACTCTGTCAAACGCTTTATGGAGGTGACAGGGAAGTCGATGGAAGAATGGAGCTCAGCCCACGAAGGTCCTTTATTCCACTATTCTTCTGGTATGCAAGCCGTCATGTTGGCCATAGGAATTTGCGACAAAGTTAGTATATTTGGATTTGGGAAATCGCCTTCAGCAAAGCATCATTATCACACAAACCAGAAGAATGAATTAGGGCTGCATGATTATGAGGCAGAGTATGATTTTTATTACGATTTGATTGCTAGGCCACAGAGAATACCTTTCTTGTCGGACAAGTTCAAGGTACCTCTCACGGTTTTATATAAGTGAATTCGATCTTGTCGTTGTTGATTAGATAACTTGCTTCATTCTTTGTTGGTGTATAGTTGTTCGTTTAGGCTGTCCTATGACTGATCTCAAAGGAAACATTTTATTTTGGTGCATGATTTACAACTTGTAACATTTTTGAGCGAGAATGATTTCGAATTTACACCAACCATGAATAGATGTGAAGAATTGAGTATAGCAATATTAATACCCACGCACATTTATAGGAAGGGGAGGGATCAGGGAAATTTACTCGAATGTTGAACACTATAGCTTTGTAACACCAAAACTTGGTGACCTTGGCCTATAACATCATACTGTCGTGCAGACTTCCTAATTGAAACTAAGCTGAGCTAAGAAAGACGATGGAAAAGGCACCACAGAAACTGAAGCACTACAACAGGTTAGAGATGATTATATTTACATTGTGATGTGATCAACTCTCCGTACAAAAAAGGCACAAAAGGGACAGTAGAGATATATGCAGGGCATGCTTCGACATCTGCTTCAATTTCCCTTCATTCCTTCGTGTCCATCACCACCTCTTTCTCCTCGTACTTCACCCTCACCAAGAACCTTATACTCGCCTGCATGGTATAGGAACCAAAAAAGGGGTTTGATTTACCATATGTTTGCATGGATTATTTGAGACTTGCCATATTAGAAAACATATCATTCGAGGAAAATAAATTACCAGTTCATAGGACACATACCTGCTTGGTATCGTAGACAGAATACTCATTGTATTCAAGAGGGCTATCTTTGTGCTCTGAAGCGATCAAAGTGCCACATGGAACTCTAATATCATCCTTCCAAACAAAGTGTTCTGATTCGTCTGTCTTCTTCCTACCCAATGCTTTCACTCCCATCTTCTTCTCCTCTAATGATTTTGTGTCCTGTCCCAACCACTTGTTAGTTAATTCAACCTTCACCAGAACTGTACAAAGACGCCAGAAATTCAAGTTCATAGGTTACCTCAGGTGGGCTTGTTCTCTCTATTATCTCTTCCCCGAGAGAAACAATAGCCAGGACCAAAAAACCTTCTGGCCTGTCTACGGCGGTTAAACCGTATCTAGCTGCCTCTGCCGCAGCATCACAGCACACAATTGCTCGGCCGAACTGCAAAGCAAAACGATAATCCATATTGAGGTTCGTTTTGATGTTTAAAAGAAAATATTACAATGTTCCAATTGCCTAGTACCATGTAACCCGGGACTGGAAGAGAGCATATTGCTGGCAAGAAGCCTTTGTGCAAATGCCTCAAGAGATTCGAACTCCGGGTGCCTATCAAGAAAGTAGGAAATTTAGATGGAAACAATTAACGCTGAAGTGAGGGTAAGTAATAGGATTCAGCCAACCCACCACACCACAAGAGGACTTTATTTGGTAGCTTCTTTATCTCTTCGTAGCTGGGGAGAGCTGCTGATTCTACAGAAAAAATGTTGTCAACACTCGCTCCATATTCCTGGAAAACACATTCAAACCACGAACTTCAATAATCAAGATTCTCTGAATTATGTTGTCGAGTATTCAATTGAACATCAATTCTTACAATATCTCCAACTTTCACAGGCTCGTACGTTTTCTCTAGATAGTTCACAATCATTTTATAGTCATCTGAATCCTTCTCCAGAAGGGAAATAGAACCACCCAGTTTCTTATATCGATCCGAGAGTGGGTCGTCAATGGTAGACCCACTCATGTCACCAATAAGATGCGAAGCCACTGTTATATCTCGAACGCTTTCCAACACAGCCGCAGCCTGGATAATTAAGCTGCTAAGATAACATGAACCAAAAAGAAAAGGAAGTTTGCAACCAATAGTAGAAAGGTCCTAATTGGGGCATACATGTTCTGCAATTTCTTGATAGTCCTTGAAGATCAAAGGTCTGGTAGAGTGCATGAGAGAGAACCATCTATTACTGTAATCTGTCCAAACAGCTTCAGCCTTAAGTCCCGTCTCTTTCATTGATTTTACTTTCTCTATGAATTCCAGAAGGACCTCTTCGCCTGCGAAAGAGTTTTCCTCTTTACACTGAGCAGAAAAACAAAAACAAGAGGAGAAAAGAGAAGGGGCCAATAGGGCTTACATCTCTTCAAGTGAAGATTAGAAAGCATTCCCATTGGGAATTCCGGAGGGTCGTGTCCCATCTCCATAAGAGCATACCTGGGGTTGAAGGACAAAGGTGTAAGATCTCATGGCGCAGGAAGGGAAAGCGTTTTATAGAGAGGTCTTACTTGTAAATCTCTTGGCTGCACAAAACCTTCATAAAGTTGCCAACCACTGGCTCAAGCTTGCTGTGAACAGATGCGATTCCTAGCTGCCGAAGACCAAGCCCTCCATGTCTCACATCCACACCATCATCCTATAAAGTATAACCATTGCCATAAACAAGGAAAAAAAATCAAATATCATGTGCCAGACGAACTCATGAACAAATGACTGAAAAACTAGGATTATACCATATCGATGGGATAGAAAGACAATCGTTTCTTCTCAAACTTCTTCTCCCTTTCCCATGGCTCGAATTCATTTCCAGTTATTTCCTCGAACAGCCGCACAAACTCCTTTATAGCATTTTCCTCGTTTTCCCATTCCTCCAGCCTTTCCTGTGCGTTGGGATCATCGCCAACTTTTCCTTTCTTATAGAACAGATGCAATTTCTTATCAGGTACTTTGATCAGTTGAGTAATACAATACCTACAACAATAGCTCGTGAATTAGAATCAGCTCGGAAAAAATTAATGAATAAGAACTTTCTGGGTAGAAGTTCGGTATGCTACTCATTAAGTCCTCGGCCTTGATCGCAAAGCGAAAAGGCGCAATTGTACAAGATCCCATCCTTTTCAAATATCTCTCCACCTTGTTCTTGTAATTTGGTATCCTTGTAAACCCCTCTCTTTCCATATAATTTGAGCTGCAGAACACACGTGAAAGTAACCGGTAAGAACTCTAAATATTAATCTACAGTATGTTCAAAATGATATTCGTACTTCAGCTGTGAGGGATTCAAGTGCCTCTTCAGATGGATCTTGTTTGTCCCAAGGGGTCCCTTTGCCTTCGACAGTGAGATCTGTTACAATATCATAAGCTTCCAGTGGTTGAGCTTCTTGCTTCTCAATGCTATCAAGCAGCCAAGCTTCTCGAACGACCCGTATTCCTCTTTCACTGGAAAAGAGAACATTATAAGCCATGAAATTTGAAAACCAAACAGCCCTGAAACTGCATGTATCTTGGATAGAAGGAAAGAAACGCACACTGCTTCTGCAACTTTGGAAGATCCGCCACGTTCTCTCTCGGCAGGAGAGACAACCAAACAACTGACACCTGCAAAGATTTGTTCATTAAAACCGCAACCAATTACAGTGAGGGAACAGAATCAAGGACTTGATGAGAACAAAGAGAATGTACCTATAACGGAATTGTTAACAGTCCCTCCATGCTTCTCAATTTCTTTTCTCCAGTAATGCTGAGTTAATAGTCATTGCAAACTTGTTAGCCATCACTATAAAAACTTGTGCCATGCTAGTCAATCCCAACCCATCGACTTACATGAGTTCTCGAAAGACGACCAGAGAGTGAAATTGTCATTCCTGAGAAGGGTTTATCTGATTGGCCAAGATTTCTCTTAGGACGTTGACCTGGATTTTGATACTTCTTTATCAACTACACCATAAACAAACAGAGTTCAACTAAGAAAATTGTTGGTACGATGATGTCTGGCTATCTAGAAAAAGAAGAAACAAGTGCAGGAAATGGAGTGTTACATCTGAAATGGGAGAATTCAAGACTGATTCTGGTAACTTATTGGTTTCATTTTTCCTAGGTGGATCCTTGGTTTTGAAGGTACAAGTAGACCATTCACTTAGAAATCCATTGCAGGCATAGCGTTTCCCATCAAATACCAGGTTGCCACTACAGACTGGGCAACCTTCTAGCGCACCATAGAACAGCAAGTCTTGACTGCCAATGTGAGATCAACTCAGCAAACGATACACGAAAAGAATGATTCACTGATATAAAGAAAAGCCTATGCTGCAGTTGTTTATATTAATGGTAGTACCATTTAGAAGCAACCTCATAGTCAGGGCCAGTGGAGTCTTGGTCATTCATTTGCAGAATCTCCTTCATTTGATCAATGGATAGACTCTCTCTTGTAGCTTTACAGAACGATTCAAACTCGTCTGCAAGATCGGATTCGGATTTGCAATTCAGGCGTCCATTTTCGTCTTCAGACTTTACTTTCTTAGGTGATTGTTCATTTTCATGTGTCTTGCTCTCTGCCTTTTGTTTCCTTGTCATTATCTTTTCTTCTTCACCAGAACCATGAGAGTGAGAATGGGATCTCTTTTCATGAACCTTCAAAATTTGTACAGAAATTAGCTCTACCATTTCCATCTCTACAAGCTAATATTTTCTTGAACTGTTCTGACATTTCTTTTATGAACTTTCAATTGTGTTCTTTCTGTACTTGCAGAAACACCATTTTTGCATCAGGTGGACTTCTCAAAGGATTTGGCCGACAGCTTAATGGAATTTACAGGTACCAATGTTAGTTGTTATTTTGATTTGAACTTCTACTAGTTCTTAGTTAGATGATTAAGCTGGAAAACACAAGACAGACGCATAAACATCAGAAGAACACTGATTTGGTTAAATGAGTAGCAAACCCATGAAATATTAATGCTAGAGATTCATAGAAACGAATGAAAGCGCATCTGAGTACATAATATAGAAGCTAAGAGGATCAAACCTTCATCTTTCAGTTTTTCTCTCTGTTTTGAATGAACACAGATGAGAGAGCAGCAAAAATAAAGCACTCCCCAACAAAGAAGGCAGTGAAAGGCAAAGCAATCAGATCCAAGTTTGAAGCTTCAAGCACTAAAGTTTAAGGTTTGGAAAATAGCTGAAAGAGAGACCATTCCATGGATTTCCTTTAACGTTGCATAACTTTGTGATAGTGACAACTTCCGAGAGAGACACGTCCGTGCTTGTTCTTGACTTCTCTGTCAAACTAGTAGAATTCCATGTGTTATGGAGCACCAAAGTGAATACCACGTGTCCGATTGGATGCCTTTTGAAAGCCTTAGCTATTGACAGGTAGTGGAATGTAAACTGAGTTTTGTTTCTCTGTCTCTTCTGTAATACCTGCAAATTAATTTAGGATGGAACGCCCAAGCCTACCGCTAGTAGATATTGCCATTTTTCGAGTTTTTCTTCCGAACTTTTCCTCAACGTTTTTAAAACGCGTTTGTTAGGAAGCCACACTCTTATAAAGAATGCTTTGTTTTCTTCCCAACCGAGGTGGGATCTCACAATCCACCCCCTTCAGGGCCGATGCTGACACTCGTTCCCTTCTCCAATCGATGTAAGATCCCTATTCTACCCCCTTTCGGGACTCGTGTCCACCCCTCTTCGAGACTTAACCTCCTCACTAGTAGATGCGTTTTACAAACTTTGATGAAAAACTCGAAAGAAAAAACTCAACAAGGACAATATTTATTAGGGATGGGCTTGAGTGCGTAACCGCACATACTGAACATCACAATCACAAGTAGAACCTCCAACATTGAAAATGTTGAATCAAATGTGTATCTACCTCCCTATTCTACCCCTTTTTGGGACTCGTGTCCACCCCTCTTCGAGGTTCAACCTCCTCACTAATAGATGCGTTTTATAAACTTTGATGAAAAATTCAAAAGAAAAAACTCAAAAAGGACAACATCTATTAGCGGTAGGTTTGAGTGTGTGTTTGAGTGTGTGGCCGAACATACTGAACATCACAATCACAATCACAAGTAGAACCTCCAACATTGAAAATGTTGAATCAAATGTGTATCTACCTTTCTTATGTAATGAAATCACAAGTGTTTCAGACACAACCATTACCTATAATTATAATATATGGTGTTTCAGACAAAACCGTTCCTTGCTGTAAAATAGTGTCTCGGCCAAACCCATTACTTGCTGTAAAATTTTCAGCATTTACACATAAAACTTTCCTCAATGCCGATAAAATAGATACTCTTCCCCCTCTTCACCAATCCATGCTTGCTGCCCTCCTCATTGTCATCAACCTCTCTGTTGGCTTCTGTCTCTTTTCCAGCTCCTTCCTCTGCATCATCTGCAACACAACACAATAATCTCATACCTAAAAGCTTCATAAAACCGACTCGAAAAATCTCAAAAAAATCGACTCGAATTGCTTGCCTCTTTCTGTCTATCCATTTCAGATTCAATCTGCATATTTGATGTTATTAAGATCAGGAAATGAAAGTCAAGAGAATGAGTGTAATAACGCATGTTGAATGTTGCTAGAAAAAGAAAACTTCACCAGTGTTTGCTTTAGTTTTACATTCTCTTCTTTCAGCTGATTCAGTTCTGCTTCCAACTCCACTGTGTATGCCTGCAATCAACGATCATGACTCTAGTTAGTTCATTATATATTAACAATCTCTTACAGTTTGCTCTATGTATCAGTGAATCATGATGATTAGACAAGCATGAGAACCTGTTTTCTAGCCCGAGATCGAGCAGCTGACTCCCGATTCTTGATCATCCTATGCTGCCTCCGCTGCACCACAAATTCTGGGGACCTATTAATGATCCTCTTCTTTCTGCTATGCTCACCCCAATCAGTCAAGCTTTGAGATATCTGAATTGAGCTGTTATCAGATGGCTCCACACCAACTGATGGGGTAAGCATTTGGTTAGTTGAAAAGAAATTCCCAGGAAAGTTCATAGCAGCATTCTGATGATTATGATAAGACATGTTCTGCCCCAAGTTTCCCCCCATCCCTAACCCCAAATCCACCATCGAGCATGGCAGCTGCTTCATTGAAGAAGATGATGATTCTTGAACCATTCCAGCTTTCACCAAGAAATCCTCCAATGTCCGTTCTCCTAAACCCTGCTGGCTGTAGCATGGATTCTGCTGAATGTTCATGAACTTCTGCCATTGTGGGTATGTTTGTTCTGCTGAGGCTTGGTGAGGCAGGGTTAGCCTTGAATTATTAGTATTGGCAGCCATGAAAGGGAGATTTTGAGGTTCCTTTAATTCATTGGTTTGTGAGTGAATTTGGTTTTGAGTTCCTTCAACATTCCAGAGATTGGAAAGTATCTCATCCATGCCTAAACACCCAAAATTCTTCCCACTTTTGTACTGAATTTCATCAACTGGTATAGGTAAAATGGAGTTGTTTTTGTTCAGTGAAGACAAGAAATTGTCACTTAAAACTCCATTTGATGGCGGCTGTGCTGCTGCTCCTGCTACTGCTGCTGCTTCTGGCATCATTTGCCCAATCGCCATATTTTCAATTCCTGAATTCTCCATTTCTCAAACATGAAACCAAAATACTCTGTTTGGATGCCTAGAAAATCACCAAGAAAATTCTTCCCTCCAGATTCCCTGTTGAGCAGTGAGTGAAATCAAAAGCTAAGAAAACAGACCCATTTCAAGGAAGAAATCAAATCCAACAGCGAAAGTAAAACCAAACAATGATGAACAGATTCAAACTGAAACAGAGACCCAATTCAAAGCTTGCATGCAAAGCTTGACCCACAAATCATCATAGAAAATTGTTCCAAAACAGAAACAGAGTTTCAAAGCGATGGATGTGATGTTACCTTTGAGAACAAACAGTAGGAGTTGCAGAGAAATGGATCAAAAATTCTGAAAATTGCTAAACAAAAAAAACAAAAAAAAGAATCAGAGGAGGATGAAGAGGAAGAGAGAAGCATATAAATAAACAAAGAGACTTGTGTTGTTTATATAAGGAAGTAGGATTTAATTTTAGGTACGTTTCGGCGCCCGGTGTTAGTAAACGGTATGAATCAAGGTATCTCAATCAAACAAAAATTTAAAAAAAAAAAAAATATAATTTTCATAGTTCAAACCTATAATCGGCAAGTTTAAAGTAAATAAAAGTATCTTCTACTCAAAATTTATAACCATCTAAAAATAAATAATTACAACTTACTTGAATTGATAATTATAATTATTTATTTTTGTGACATCGAAATCGAAATGAAATCGAAATTAAAAAAAATTAGTGGAATTAATTTCTAAGAATTTTTTTATTAAAAAAATATAAAAAAGTCTTGATAAATTTAATAATAATATATTGTTGAAAATAAATTTTAAAAATTTAAATAGTATTCTACATATATATATATATATTATTTTAATTGAAATTATAGCAACGTGACGATTCTCTGACCATTTTTTTATATTCCTTTTATTGAAAAATAACAAATAAAGTTTTTTTTTTTGTTCGACACGTGGAATCCAACATGCAACGGTTTTGCCTCAGCTGAGAGGGTAAACAAATTCCGAAGTACGAGGGCAAGAAGGACAAAGTCAGTTACCATCCTTTAATTTCAGCCGTTGGATTTGAATTCAAGTTCATGAGGGCGCACGCACATGATTGGCAGGCGAGGTATGAGATCAAATCTGCTGCGGCCAAAACCACACGAACTCGATGAATCCGACCAATACCATTCTTACGGTCTGACAGTGACTCTCTGACATTGATTGTTTTGAGAATCTGTAACGTAACTTCAGGAGAAAAGTGTTTCCGTTACAACTTTTCCACCCGTTGACTTTCATTTGTCGGTTTTTTATTATTTATATTTTTTAATTTTAAAAAGTTAAAAAAAAAAAAAAATACTTATAAGTGAAATAAAATTATACCATTTTTCATCCCAAATTTATTATTATATATTTTTTAATGTTTTTATTTTTATTATTTATAAAACAAATATATATGGTAACTTTTTAAAGTTGATATGATATTATCCCCTAATAATTTTCCCAAAACATCTCATGTTAATAGAAATAGTGGTCACCAACCTTATTTCACGAGCTCTTGAACAAAGTATACGATTTGTTCGACATCTATTAGAACTACACGTTCAAATCTCACAACTCGTTTACTCGATATTTGAGGATTCTATTGATATGTTTAAGTTAAGAACTGACTATGATACTGTCAAAAACAATGATTCTTTTAATTGACTGAGCAGAATCTCGAGATTATATTATCTGTCAACGAGATATCTTTATTAGTTTCCAAAATTTAACTTGTTTCTTTCCGAAAAAAAGAATCATGCAAAAAGTAGATAACAAAATTCATAAATAAGAGCGGATTTATAAATTTAATTTTATTTTAAAAAATCATAATTTGAGTCCTAAATATATTAGACTAATATATCATTAACTATAGGGTTTTTATTATCTTTGTTTTTTTTTTTATTATTATTATCTTATAAAAATAATTATTTAGGTTAAAAATTTTACCACTCGAACCATTGTTGAATTTAAAAAAATGTCTCAACCCACCACTGAGGAAGCCGGTGAACTATTTGAATGTTTGCCTAAAAACCACACTGTTTCGTTAGTTTAGTGTAAGCTCGTTGACAATTTTGGTTACCTTGACTTTGCGTTCTTATGAACTTTAATAATTTTCGTATAAAACATTTGAATGAAGACAAAATATGCTAAAAATCTCATATTGATTTGTCGGAATGGTCTTCAATAGCTCACATGGTCATGTTGCAAGAGAATGTTGGAGCCATTGACTCTCGAATCTAGATTCTAAATTCTGGGTATGAAGCGTTTCATAAAACGTTGTAACACGTAATTTTGAGATATAAAAAATGTAATAACCCGATGAACAAAGTCTCGAAGATTGGAGAGTTTATCCATGGCTAAGACGATGTTGTCTATACTGTGGATGACTGGCCGGTCGACGATGGTCTCCGTCAAGGACTAGTGGAGTTGGTCGACGCCTTGGGTTAAAGCATCCTTAGCCTCCTTCGACGAATGTTGTACCTTGTAAACTTCCATTACTTGTTGTTCGCTTATTGGGTCCAATTGTGACATTAAAATGTAGCATAAATTAATAAAAATATCTACAAATTTTGTATTTTTATCGATATATATGGTTATTTTCAATTAGTAACGGTCCGCTTATTTTATTATTATTACTTTTCTAGACATGGAAATTAGGTTAAAAGTTATAGCGTTTTAGAAAATTTTAATGCATAATAATTATAAGATTAAAAAAAAAATTCAGGCTTATTTTCATAACCATTTGAATTGGGTTGGATAATTATGTGATCATCGTCTTGTCATGTAGGTCAAAGTCTCTCATATATAACGTTGCATCTCATCTTCTGCTTCAGATTCTCAACAATATAGTTCATGTATCATAATATCATCTCCAATCCCAAGTCGTCATCGACCCTCACTACTCGCTCAGGCACCTATCAAGAATCGATCGTATGAGTCAAATAGTCTAGGACATCCCGAACATTCGTTCGTCTGTGTTCCATCGAGGCATGTACCCTCCTCTTCTTTGATTCTGAAAGATTCTATTGACATGACTAAATTAAAAAAAAATATACGACAGAAAGAAAAAAGTAAACCACCCCACCCAAATCAATTGCATCAATCACCCCACAAAATAAATAAATAAAAATAAATAAATAATAAATTAACTCATCCAATCACCATTCAAATATCAACGAAAATTATATTTTTTAATTAAAAAAAAAAGGAACCTTTTGATGACGTGTACACTAACTCCACACACAACGCTTCTATTTAATTATTGTTTCTCAGTTCCAATGTTCACTAAATCAGTGAAAATGGTTCCACCAAATTGCTCCGATTCCGAACCCAACACCCCTGCAGCCGCCGCCCTTGGTGGCTCGGCCGCGGATTCCGGAGGAGGTGGCCGGGAAAGTGATGGTGCCGGAGAAATGGGGGAAAGAGGAGCTGCTAAAGGACTGGATTGACTACTCGGCGTTCGATAGAATCTTGACTGCCGGCAGAATTGCGTTGGCAAGGGCGTCGCTTGCGGCGGAGGGGCAGCGGAGCAGCCCCGATCCAGTTCACGGCCACAGTTAGGCTTGTCTCGTGAGTGATTTATTTACTTGGTTGTATTCGGGTTGAATTGAATTTTTTTTTTTACCTAGATTGAATTAGATGAATCATTTTTTAAACTATATGAAAAAAAAATTATCGTTACAAATTATATTAATAATAAAATATTATAAAATTCAAATATCAAATATTTACGAACTATAGTGGAACACTAATATACGTTACAATTTTTTTTTTTAATTATCGTAATAATTTTATAAGTAAAGTAAGGTCGGTTGTGCTACGAACAATATTTTCGAATGATCAGATTGACCCATTACATAATATAGTTTAAATTTTGTGTGCAAACATTATTATTTGATAATTATTTATGCCACGTGTTAGTTACGTATTATATGAGAATCTATTTAAGTTTAATTGCTTATTATAAAATTTTGAAAGTAAAATACATATAGTAGAAAAACGAGCCCATCAAGGCTCATGTTCAAGGCCCATTGGACAACAATTTGGGCCAATAATGGGCCCAATATGAACACGGTCGTACAGCCCGGCCCATGGTCGTGTTCGCAAAATTACGGTCCTCCTATCATAGGTTTATCACCGAGGCTTCTTTTTGGATCGCATCTCTTCGGTCTTCCATTATATATCTATTATCAGCTGCCGTCGAAAAACCCTAGCTTAGCTTCTTCTCAT